AAGTTGACCTGAGATTCCTTGGAGAAGTCAGGGAGAGATACAAAACAGGCCAAATCCCAACCAGCAGTGGCTGGATTCAGCTGCAGTGTTATGACATCAGTACCACAATTCGTAGAAAACAAGTTTAATAAGGCCAGAGAAAAAAGCTCTTACAGGGATAATTACCTTGTCCCTGCAGTATTCAAGGAGGTGAGCTACAATACAAGATGATAACTTTAATGTGGACCCTTTGTGTGTGTGTGTGTGTGTGTGTGTATACACATCCAGTTTTAAAGTCACATCCAGCGACTTTAAAACACTTGGCATTGGTTTGTTCTTGAAGTATTAAAAAATGACACCAGCATTTGGAAGATGGAAACTCATAACTGTTATTACCTGAGGTGGCGTAAGCACTGTCCAATACACAACACTCACACACACATCTTTCATATAGTATTTACTAACACAATTGACATAGTAGATAAAAAATATGTTCTAGCGCCAAAGTATTGGAATTTGAGTGATGGGGTAAGAATTATTCCCTACAAACCGATGGATTAGAAGGAAGGTGTTTCAATCCCTGCAACACAGTGGAGGACCAACTCACCTTTAACAACAAACATGTCTTTGTACACCATGCGACTGCACAACTGCACTAGAATCACAGGATACATAGAGTTGGAAGAGACCTTGTGGGCCATCCAGTCCAAGCCCCTGCCAAAAAGCAGGAAAATTGCATTCAAAGCACCCCTGACAGATGGCCATCCAGCCTCTGTTTAAAAGCTTTCAAAGAAGGAGCCTCCACCACACTCCAGGGCAGAGAGTTCCACTGCTGAACAGCTCTCACAGTCAGGAAGTTCTTCCTAATGTTCAGATGGAATCTCCTTTCTTGTAGCTTGAAGCCATTGTTCCATACCCTAGTCTCCAGGGCAGCAGAAAACAAGCTTTCTCCCTCCTCCCTATGACTTCCTCTCACATATTTATACATGCTATCATGTCTCCTCTCAGCCTTCTCTTCTTCAGGATAAACATGCCCAGCTCTTTAAGCCACTCCTCACAGGGATTTTTCTCCAGACCCTTGAGCATTTTAGTAGCCCTAATCTGGACACATTCCAGCTTGGCAATATCTCTCTTCAATTGTGGTGCCCAGAATTGGACACAATATTCCAGGTGTGGTCTAACCAAGGCAAAATACATTACATATACAAAATCTGGAACTCTGCACAATGTTCTGGAACTTCAAATGGCCTTTAAAGTGCATTGACAATGCCTAGTAACATTTTGGGAACTCTGTATGTGTGTGTACAAATGCCATATGACATAACTATGATTATCAAAAGCCAGCAGGTTGCAAACTTATTCCCTACAGTAAACCTTTGCCTCTTGTCTCAGGAGGTTAACTATTACTGTATTATGGCAAACCAGATTCTCATTCTAGACGGGACCTGAAAACAGAATTTGACCCATCTTTAATGGGTGGTGCAGTGGATTAAACTGCTGAGCTGCAGAACTTGCTGACTGAAAGGTTGGCAGTTCGAATCCAGGGAACAGGGTGAGCTCCTGCTGTTAGGCCCAACTTCTACAAACCTAGCAGTTTGAAAACATGCAAGTGTGAGTAGATCAATAGGTACTGCTTCTGGGGAAGGTAATGGTGCTCCATGCAGTCATGCCAGCCACATGACCTTGGAGGTGTCTACAGACAACGCCAGCTCTTTGGCTTTGAAATTGAGATGAACACCACCCCTCAGAGTCAAACTCAACTAGACTTAATGTCAGGGGAAACCTTTACCTATTTAATTGCCAGGGTGCTATCCAAGGGTATTTATAGGGTGCAGCACATAGAATCCCCTGTGTGAGAGCAATAATGCTGCAATCTACACTATACGTTTTTCAAATTCCCACCAAACTAAAAACCCCATGGCTGATAAAGTGGTGATACAGCTACAACTATGAAGGCAATGCTATGGACTGAAGCTGGTTAAAAAGAAACCTTATTGGTTTTAACCACTATTAAAAAGAACATGGATATATTCTGCTTCCAACTAATATTCTGGCAAGATAATGTTATATGTTAGAGAGCATAACTTGCACAATTTCCTTTTGGATTGCAACTCCCAGAATCCATTGGACAGCATGACTCTTGTGGTAATGAGCTTGCATTACAATGGTAACAACTGAGTATTGAATTTATAATAACCCTACATGTATTTCAAGTGTGGCCAGAAGTAAGAGGAAGCTTTAATTTCCCCACCCCCCTTGGGAAGCTGAAATGGCCCATAAAGGTAAATGTAAGTCTAGTCGTGTCTGACTCTGGGGGCTGGTGCTCATTTCCATATCTAAGCGAAAGAGCCGTTGTCCATAGGCACCTCCAAGGTCATGTGGTTGGCATGACTGCATGAAGCACTGTTACCTTCCCACTGAAGTAGTATCTATTGATCCAGACCCATAGCCAGGATTTTGATTCGGGGGGGGGGGGGCTGAGTTTGATTGAGTGAAAGAGGGTCTACCCTAGCAAACCTTTTGTATCGTTATCCCAATACTCCCATGCATATGGGATATATTGAGCATGGTGATCAGATCATGATATGAATAAAGATAACAGTTTAAATAATGTACCAGTAAGGCCTTCTCACAGACCACCCTGAGAATATCAGGGGGAGCTGAAGCCCCTGAAGCCCCCTCCCCCTCCCCCCAGCTACATGCCTGTATTGATCTACTCACATTTGCATGTTTTCAAACTGCTGGGTTGGCAGAAGCTGAGGCTCACCCTGTTCCCTGGATTCAAATCACCAACCTTTTGCTCAGCAAGTTCAGCAGCTCAGTGGTTTAACCCACCGTGCATTCTGGAATGGAAAATAAGCAAATGTGTCCACATTTGCTCAATGTATCCAGTTCACAAAATTCAACTTTCCTTGGAAAGACCCTAGGTAGTGCAATGGATTAAACCCTCATGCTGGTAGGACTGCTGACCGACAGGTTGGTGGTTTGAATCCAGGGAGCGGGGTGCGCTCCCATCTCAGCTCTAGCTTCCCATGCGGAGACATGAGAGAAGCCTCCCACAGGAGGGTAAAACATCAAAACATCTGGGCATCCCTGGGCAACATCCTTGCAGGCAGCCAATTCTCTCACACCAGAAGCGTCTTGCAGTTTCTCGAGCAGCTCCTGGTACAAAAAGAAAAACTCTCCTTGGGACAGAATGGGGTTTCACTGGTGCAGAACCGTCACTCTCTTGTACTGCAGAGAACACATAGCCCAGGTTAGAGATTTACGATGCAGTTGTGCTTCACTATCAGAGCCCATGACCCCAGGCAAACCCTTTTTTCCCTTCTAGGCTGTTGTCCCTCACCTTTTCTAGCTTCCTCACACTTGCAAAGATGAGCATTGGCTTCCCTTCATCTCTGAAGCTCTGGGAAACCTGGGCAACAGCGGGAGACACCACTTTGGGTACCATGTCTCTTTCGGGAGCTTCAAGACCAAGTTGAGGAGATATGGTTTCGAAGGCTTCCAAGAAAAAGCACCCCAGCTTTCCCAAAACATAAGAAGGTCAAGGCTCTGACATGCCAGTAAGAAGACTCCAAACACACACACACATACACACCATGTTTTGGGTGCATTTTTTAAAAAATAAAAGAGCAAGGACAGAGGAGGTTCTGCAGAAGAAGGCAGAAGAGGGGCTTCCCTCGCCCACAGGCCCAGAACTGCAGAGCGGGCTGCAGATCATCTCCAGGACGAGGAACTTGCAACCTAGAAGACCCCTTTTGCCACAGTCCCAGTGTCCTGGTGTTGACACAGTTGAGCGAAAAGCAGAGTCAGGCAGCTTCTCATTCCAAAAATAAGAAACCAATGAGGGGAAAGCCAGGGAAGGAGGGCGGGAGGGAGGCAGAGCAATGGGAAAATTGCTGGCTCAGATTGTTTTTCTTTTTCTTTTCCATTTTGCTGCATTGTATAGAACTTTAAGGCCTTCCGAATAGATCTCTCTCTCTCTCTCTCTCTTCTCCCCTCCCCGCTCGCTCTTTTAATACATTTCCAGGCGAAGGGAGGCGTGAAAGTCTTCCAAAGGACACGGATTCCCCAAAGCAGGCACACTCCTGCTGCCCTCTCCCTGACTGCTCTCCTGAGCAGATCTCTTCATTGGGCCTGTGCCACTGGCCATCATGCTCTTTGGCCAGACCCGAAAGGGCTTTGGGGTATATCAGAGGCCAACCCCCTTCCTCTCTGCAAGGTGCAGACTGCTGCAGGGGAACCCCCGTTGGTGGGATGGAGGGCTGGCTCTAAGTAGGGCAGCAAGAGCGAGGGAGCGGAGGGGAGCCGCCGGCTGGCGCGAGGCCTTCCGGGCTGCAGCTTCGAGCCAGGCGCCACGCGGCGCCCACCTGTTCGGCACCTACCTGGCCTTCGGAGGCGGCTTCCCTTGCCTCCCGCGCTTTCCGGAGGATGCAGCAGCAAACTGCACCAGCTCCCAACAGCAGCAGCATCCTTCCTAGCATTCCCAGAGGGACGAGCGGAAGGAAGGAAGGAAGGAAGGAAGGAAGGAAGGAAGGAAGGAAGGAAGGAAGGAAGGAAGGAAGGAAGGAAGGAAGGAAGGAAGGAAGGAAGGAAGGAAGGAAGGAAGGAAGGAAGGAAGGAAGGAAGGGGAGTCAGGGCAGGTGGAGGGCAGGAGAGGAGCCGGGCGCCTTTTGGATGTGCAGCAGAGCGAGCGTCCCAATGAGGAAGGAGCGGGAGGGAGAGCAGGAGGAGATGAACCGGTACTGTCTTTGGGAGCTCGTTTTTGACACCTGGTTTCTACGACCCCTTTCGGGATGGGGCTTTGCAAGCGGAAAGGCCTCCCCGACAAGCCCCTGCCTTGAGCCGCCGCGGGGCTCCAGCATCCGCGGGGTTTTTTTTCCTCCTGCAACTCGGCGCGCCTCTCTATTCTCCCAGCCAAGGAGGGGAGTTGGTGGCCCTCCGAGGTTTGCTAGCCCTCTTTTGCCGGCAGGACAACCGACCCCCCCCCCCCCCCCCCGATTTCTGCCCCCTTTGCTTACCTCCCGGCGCAGGCAGAACCGCAGGGGCAGGAGGCAGGAGAAGAAGTACTTGCCCCACCGGATGAGGGCAGCGAAGCACCAGCTGAGGCGCGTCATGGTGGCCCCCGCCGCAGGGCTCCCCCTGGGCCCCGACGCGGGGCTCCCTGCTCAGCCCCCTCCTCCTCTTCCTCCTCCTCCTCTTCGCGGCCAGGGCCGGGAGCAGCGGGGCGCCCTTCTCCCTTCCCGCTTCCCTTGGCCGGGTCTGGTGCAGCCGCGCCGCGCGCCCCGCTCGCTTCCTGGCGCCTCTGCAGAGCCCCGCCGCCGGAGAACCAGGAGGAGGAGGAGGAGGAGGAGGAGCGGGGGGAGGAAGGGCAGGGGAGGAAGGAGGAGAGGAGGAGGCGGAGGGGCCGGCGGAGCGGAGCAGAGTCTCCGGACGGAGGGGCGGCGATCCCGGCCGCTGCACTGGCCCGCCGCTTCCCGACCTGCTGAGCGCTGGCAGCGGCGACACCGCCCCCTCCTCCTCCTCCTCTTCCTCCTCCTCCTCCTCTTCCTCCCCCCAGCACCCTCCCCTCGGCACCGTCAGCGCGGTCTCTCCAGCAGCCCCGCAGTGCGCGCGTGTGGACGCAGGGAGCGAGACGGCGCGGGATGGCTCCTCTCTCTTTCTCTCTCTCTCTTTCTCGCTCTCTCTCTCGGTCCCAGCAGCCCCAGCCGCCGCCGCCGCCCCCCCCCCGCCCTCCCCTGCCCTCAGGCCCAAGCGGACCGAGAAGGACACCCACGGTTTCCCCACTGTCTCCCTCCACCCCTCCCTCCCGATCAATCGATGCCCAATTTCCGCCGCGGTTCCCTCTTCCCCCCTCCCCGCAATTCATAACGATCCGCGCTGTGTGGGCCCGAGGGAGCTGTGATCCGCCTCCCTTCAGTCAGACACCCCCCCCCCCCCCCCCCAGTGTTCTATGCCAGGGCTTCCCTCCCTCCTGTCTTCATCAATGGCTAATCGAAGCCGTGGGGGGAATGGGCATTTAGTCACAGGGGAGCTCAAGCCCCCCTCCCTTTCCCCAGATCCTTGGCATTCTCAATAGCACTCCTCCTCCTCATCATCATCGTCGTCTCCTGGCCGAGCGGCTGCTGATCAACCTGTTTGGCGCGCCTCCGAGGGTGGCCAACTGACAGCCCTGATCATCGATCAATTAGGGAGATCGATAGTCGCAGCAGCATGGCCCCCACGTACGCGCGCTCCCGGGTTTGGGGAAAGGGGCCACTCGGACACGCGCCCAAAAGTTCAGCCCGAGGAGACTTGGTGCGGGGGGAATGCGGAGGGTTAGAGGGAGCTCGGCAGGCTGGGAAGAGGCAGGGGGAAGGCTAGACTCAGCGCCCACCTTTTCCCACGTCTTAAAAAATGATTTATTTATTTGTGTTGTCCAAGGCTTTCATGGCGAGAATCACTGGGTTGCTGTGAGTTTTCCGGGCTGTATGGCCATGTTCCAGAAGCATTCTCTCCTGAGTTTTTGCCTGCATCTATAGCAGACATCTTCAGAGGTTGTGAGTTCTGCTGGAACAGACCTCACAGTCTCTGGAACAGACCTTTCCAACAGACCTCACAACCTCTGAAGATGCAGGCAAAACATCAGGAGAGAATGCTTCTGCAACATGGCCATTCAGCCCAGAAAACTGACAGCATCCCATTTATTTATTTATTTATTTCCCCTATTTATAGCTCTCCTTTCTCTACCTCAAAGACAGTTTACATATGGCATTTTATTCAATGCCTTGCAACACAGACAGACATTAAAAACTTAAAATCAGTTGAGTTAAAATTAATACAAGTTAAGCATTTTTTAAAAAATTACATTCAGTATTAGAATCACATCATCCAAAGATCGTGGTCCAAGGCTGATTCCATAATCATTGCACACAATCCAATCTATACTGCACTACACTATTCTCCGAAAGCCTGGTCCTAGAGCTAGGATTTTACTTTCCTTCTGAAGGTGAGGAGGGAGGGGGCTGATCTGATGTCATTGGGGAGTTCCACAGGCAAGGGGCCACCACTGAGAAGGCCCTGTCTCTCATCCCCACCAGTTGAGCTTGCAAAGAAGGCAGGACTGAGAGCAGGGCCTCCCTAGATGATCTTAATCCCCAAGGTGTTTCATAGAGGATGATATCTGTGGACAGGTATGCTGGGCCAGAACCATTTTGCAGTAGTTCCCAACCTATGAGTCCCCAGATGTTTTGACCTACAACTCCCAGAAATCCCATCCAGTTTACCAGCTGTTAGGATTTCTGGGAGTTGAAGGTCAAAACATCTGGGGACCCACAGGTTGACAACCACTGGTTTAGGGCTTTTTAGGCTAAAGGCAGCACTTGAATTATGCTTGGAAGGAGACCAGCATTAAAGTTTGGGATGCCTTGTTTGAAGAGAGGAGAAAAGCAGGAAAACCAAGGTGAGTAGGAGGAGGAGGCGAATGAGGATGAGCACCTGTCCCCAAAGCTGGCCCTGGTGAGAGGAAGGAGAACTAGTTCCACATAGGCATTTTTGTGCCTTCAAGTCATGTGAACATAACGGCAGCCTTAAGGCAAAACTGTCATGTTGTTTTCTTGGGTTGAGAGTGTGTGTCTCACCCAAGGTCATCCAGTGGGTTTCCATCCATGAGTGAGGAATCCACCCTGTTCTCCGAGGTTCAGTGTCCAAGCCACTGCATCACCCTACCTGTAGAAAACACCCCAAAGAATCAACCATATTCTGATTCTGTAGTATTGAACTAACGTTTTCCACAACAGTCACCTAAGAGGTTATAAGGTAATGAATTACAATAAAGCAATCTTAATGCAGTAATAATTAATGCACCTGAAATTAGAAATGAAGCCATATTAAAAACCTTAAAGGCATTGTCAAAAAGTACACAGGGAAAATGTGCCGCATTCTCCTCAGCTGCACACACGCATACATCTTTAGGAGCAGGCCATACTGAGATGAGAGGGAAATTACATGAAGTCATTCTGAGGGATCATTTGAACCTATGTTGGGTTGCTGTGAGTTTTTCAAGCCATATGGCCATGTTCTAGAAGCATTCTCTCCTGACATTTCACCCACATCTATGGCAGGCATCCTCAGAGGTTGTGAGGTCTGTTGGAGACTAGGCAAGTGGGATTTATATATCTGTGGAATGTCCAGGGTGGGAGAAAGAACTCTTGTCAGTTGGAGGCAAGTGTAAATGTTCGTTGATCACCTTGATTAGCACTGAATAGCCTTGCAGCTTCAAAGCTTGGCTGCTTCCTGCCTGGGGGAAACTCAGCACCCAAACACAAATCAAGAAATATCAAAGGCACTGCAGACTAATTCAACCAGAGAAGTTAGCCATAGGAGAGCTCTTGATGCACCAATCTGGACACAGCATATTATTTGAGAACACAGAAATCCTGAACCACTCTAACAACCACCATGTTAGACTACCCATAAAATCCAGAAGCATGTGAACAATTTCAACATAAAGGAGAAAACCATGAAAATGAACAAAATCTGGCTATTAAAAAACTCTAAAATCAGGACAGCAAATAAATAACAATGATAAAAAATGGATATTCCAGACAAGAAACAATTAGGACCAGCTAATACCTGCCAATAAAGGATCCACCAGGCAGGAAGCAACCAAGCTTTGAAGCTGCAAGGCTATTCAATGCTAATCAAGCTTGCTAATTGCAACATTCACACTTGTCTCAAACAGACAAGCATTTTTTCTCCCACCCTGGACATTCCACAGTTATGTAAACCCCACTTGCCTAGTTTCCAACGAACTTCACAACCTCTTAGGATGCCTGCCGTAGATGTGGGTGAAACGTCAGGAGAGAATGCTTCTGGAACATGGCCATACAGCCCTGAGAACTCACAACAACTCAGTGGTTCCAGCCATGAAAGTCTTCGACAACACATTGAACCTATGTTGGTTTGGGAAATATGCCTGAACCTCATCAGCTCAAGATTTCTTGGTTTGGAACCCAAAAGGGTTTCTTGCAAATCAGTTGGATTGGTGATATTTGAGCAAGAAAAAAGCAACACAGCCAAGAAACCTAAGGCAGAATGGGAGAAGTGAGGAGAAGTGGTGTCTTCTCTATCACTGGGGCTCTGGGCTTAGTTTGAACTTTATATGATGTATCCAAAGAACTGGGTCTTTTTGAAATATTCAGCACTTTGGATAGCTCTCCTAAAAGTAGACTAAACCTGGGAAGGATTAACAGCATGGAATTTACCAGCAGCTGGGGACAAGAGTCCTATAGATGTAAAGCACAGCATCCATTAACAGAACATAATGCCATCAAATTCTTGCTGTGATGCTCTGGCAAGAAATCTTGGGAGGAGGCCATGCTTCTGTTAGGATGTACAACTCAGTAAAGAAAAGGGAAAAGGCTATTCTGCACCATGATGGACAAGGTCAGTGATAGTCCACGACAAGGTTCCTTTGGGAGATGATAATTTAAGCCTTCACTGCCAACAGAGGGAATTGTGGCACAGGTTGGGCCAAAGGCACAGAGGATCTGAATGTAGGCCAAATCCGAAGTATATATTCTGACCAATACCACATGAACTAAACCAGCTCAATGTATGGGGACTGGGGTTGGCGGAGTCAAAGAAGAGAGTGATAAGTAAAGCCAAGATAGCCCTGTGTTTAGAGTTCAGATATGTTAGTGGGGTTTTTTAGAGTGCAACTCCCTGAGGTTCACAATCAATGCAATCCAAGCTGCCTGCATCTAGGACAGTGTTTCTCAACCTTCCTAATGCCACAACCCCTTAATACAGTTCCTCATGTTGTGGTGACCCTCAAGCATAAAATTATTTTCATTGCTACTCCATACTCCGGTGGCGCAGTGGGTTAAAGCCCAGTGCCAGCAGGACTGAAGACCGACAGGTCACGGGTTCGAATCCGGGGAGAAGTGGATGAGCTCCCTATATCAGCTCCAGCTCCTCATGCAGGGACATGAGAGAAGCCTCCCACAAGGATGATAAAACATCAAAATCATCCGGGCCTCCCCTGGGCAACATCCTTGCAGACGGCCAATTCTCTCACACCAGAAGCGACTTGCAGTTTCTCAGGTCGCTCCTGACATGACAAAAAAGAAAACTGTAATATTGCTCCTGTTATGAATCATAGTGTAAATATCTGATGTGCAGGATGTATTTTCATTCACTGGACCAAATTTAGCACAAATCCCTGATATGTCTAAATTTGAATACTGGTGGGGTTGGGGGGGATTGATTTTGTCATTTGGGAGCTGTAGTTGCTGGGATTTATAGTTCACGTACAATCAAAAAGCATTCTGAACTCCACCAATGATGGAATTGAACCAAACTTGACATACAGAATTCCCATGACCTACAGAAAATACTGGAGGGATTTGGAAGGAATTGACAGTGATTTGAGGGAGATGTAGTTCACCTACCTCCATAGAACACTGTGAACCCAAATGACTATCGATCTGGACCAAATCTGGC